TCAGCACTGCCTACAGAGGTGGCAGCCATCTCCTACCAGCATCATGGCCCTCGGTGAAGCCCAAGATCGTCAAAAAGAGGACCAAGAAGTTCAGCCGGCACCAATTAGACCATCATGTCAAAACAAAGCGTAACTGGCACAAGCCCACAGGCACTGAAAACAGGGCGCAGAGAAGATTTAAGGGCCATGTCTTGACGCCCAGCATTGGTTACGGGAGCAACAAGAAAGCAAAGCGCGTGCTGCCCAGTGGCTTTCTCAAGTTCCTGGTCCACAGTGTCAAGGAGCTGGAAGTGCTGCTGATGTGCAATAAATCTCACTGTGCTGAGATCGCTCACAACATTTCCTCTAAGAATCGAAAAGCCATCGTGGGTAGAATAGCCCAGCTGGCCATCAATCACCAATCCCAACGCCAGGCTGCGCAGCGAAGAAAACGAAAAGACAGCTCATTTGCAAGTTTTACTTTTGCTAAATAAAACCATAAAAACTAAAAAAAAAAAATTCATGATGGGGTAGAAGGAAGGATAGGAAAAATATTGGCCTCCTCAAGGAGGCAATAATAAACAAAAAGCTGAGAAACACTGCTCTAAGCCTTGATCTCCTCAATTGTCATCACTCACCTTAAAGGGTTATTATAATTTGGCTATGTCTAAATACATGTAGAAAGAATGAGTGACTGGAAATAAAGCAGAAAGGAAAAATAACCAAAACTGTAGAATAGTCATGAATGCATAGCTAAAAACACAAAGATTCAAATGTACATATTTTAATATCATTCAATGATCGATTGTATTAAAAAGGCAATTTTCTTTTCACTAGTCATTTTACCAACTGAATACCTAACATCCAAAAAGGAAATGTAAAGTCGTAGAAAAGTCAAAATAATAAATGCAAAAAGAATCTATAAATATGACAAAGATACAAACCTAAAACACCAATTTCAAGACCTGCCAAGCCTGTTTTAATTCTATCATAAATATCTTCTGATCCAAAGTCAACAGCAATGGTCCTTGTTTCCACTTTGAATTTTTCTCCTAGGGGGTAAAAAAAAACACACACAAATTAATACATGACAATTAAAATTACAGCATTTGATTACACTACCCTTCCAAATCCTTCTTTTTGTCCCAATTTGATATGAAATTTAGTCCAGGAGAATTTTAAGCAATCATATAACCATCTAACAGATGATACAGAGTCAACACAATAGCTGGGCAATAGAAATTCCAATGGTGTCACAGAGCTGGCTGAACGTTCCATAATCAAGACTCCTCCTATAAATCATTAATGAGAACTGATTTTTACACCTTTAGATACAAATAATAAAACATGATTCATATCATAATGTTATCATACTGTTATATACCCTTTAAATCCTCTGGCTATATTATTTTAATTGCAAATTGATGTTTCATAAGTTTAGGAAAAAGTCTTTATGTTATATTTTAAAGTATGATATATTGAAACAAAAAGTCCATCTTATTAAAGTGGAAATAAAATGAATATAAATCTTGCAGTAATTTAGCAGCTTGCTTAATAGTTAATAGTCACTACACTTACAAATCAACACAAAAAGCACAGTAGTAAAGCTACAAAGTGACACAAGACAGACCTCAGTGTTCTACTTTCCATAGGACTACCAAAGGTTCCAATGGAGCTGATGAAGATAATAGCTAAAGAAATGAGACTCAGGAGAAACAAAACTCATCTGAGATAATGCATGTTTACTTCAACTTTCACTAGTTCCCTTTGAGGAGACACTGTGGACTTTGAGATTGGATGACATGCGTCCAACTTCATTTCCACACTTATTTGCTAAATGACTTTGAGCAAGTTACATATCCTGTCTGAGCCTCAGCATCTTATGAAGATGAAGGTAATGCTGCCCAACTCATGATGTGAGGCTCAATAGACAGCTACTGGTACACAGGAGCTACCCCATAAGTGTTAGTGTCTCCTTCCCCTCCCCAACTGTCCCCACTCCCACTTCATTTAGTGAAGTCCAATATGCTAGGAATGTTTATTATTTGGAACATGTCGAGAATTCAAAAGAATTAATTAAAAAATCCGGCTTCCAAAAATAAATTTTTCTTCAGTCCAAGTCAATGTTGGCTCATCACAGATTATGCAGCACTAATCCATATAGGAAATATCCATTCTTGATCTAAAAGGATTTATGTCTAGAACTAAAGAGCTGGTTCACAAGAGATTTTATTCTTAGTTAGACTCAGTGAAAAGAATTAACCCAAGATAGAAATCCATGAATAAATTGGAGAGGAAGATAATTGACCTAGAAAATACCTTATCTGGTATTAAAGATATATTTAGTGCTCCACTATAAATGAACTATAAGTGTGTTTATGTAATAGAGAGCCAGGTACAGAACTGTCATTTTACAAAAGCTATTTCAACATGTCTTATTATAAATGGTTCACAGAGTTTACCACCAGTAAGAACACTGCCCACATTACATCCTCAAATTCATAAAAAAAAAAAAAAAGCTGAAGGATACCTTTTATTAAACATAAAAATTTTATTCAGGAATTAAA